GTCTTTGTGTACGGGCTTCCTGGGCGTCAGGTACGGTTGTTCAGTCAGGCGACTTGGAGCCGTAGTGGTGTGTGAGGTGAAGTCTTGAGTTCGGATAGAAATGTGGCCCGAACTGCCCTCGGGGTGGGTCAGCTCGGGTTTTTGCCCTTTGCACTCCTTGTAAGGCTCGGGACCTCCAAGGGAGAGCTCGGGTTCTTCCTTGGGGAGCTCGGGTTGCTGGTTCCTTTCTTGGGGGAGCTCGGGACTCCCTTTCTTGGAGCTCGGGTTATGGGCCCGCTGCCGTGCCGAGCTGGTGTTTCTGCCAAGTCACTCAGTTTCTTCCACGTGTCGCGTGGCCAAGGGGTCGGGCCAAATCTTCCTCCATCAGTAACTTTTCATTAAAGATTTATATATGTATGTTATATAAATGGTTGCATACTTACTTTGGATGGTAATGAATCATAGCTTTTTCTATGAGAGTCATGTACATGCAGTTAAATCAAATTGAAAATTTTAGTCATGCCTATAACTGCTTGTTTGACGTAAATTTTTAATAAAAAGGTGACACAATAAGTGAAAACATGAAACTAAAGAATCCCAGCAAAAAGTGAGCTCAACTAAAACATGCTACGCATCAAGCCTGACAATCCAAAAAAGTTAAATATATATAAAGCACAAATAATTTTAATTGATCATGTCATAGAAAAGAAATAAAGGAATTCCTTACCCACAGAATAGACGACCAATTAGAAGAACTGCTAGTGAGTTAAAATCATAAGCCAATGCATATAAGGTATTTCCCACGAGAAGAACAATACTGCTAAACACAAGAGGTCTGAAATATGATTTATTTGACCATGCACTGAAGTACACTGAAGAAAACACCTGAGCAACAGCCATAGACCCAATCACAACACCACAAACTGTTGCTGCAGCTCCAAGACTGAGGGAGTAGTTGTCTGCTGTTGGCACTATTATATATGTGTTAACCATATAAAGGAATGTGTTTGCTAGGTTCAAAATAAGGGACATAAAATTATATCTCTGATCATCAATTTGTTCCTCTATTGGAGTTGGCAACTCCTCTTGCATGATAAGAGCATGTTGTCCTAAAAAGTGAAGGAAGTTTGTTGAATGTGTTAACCTGTCTACAGCTGCTTTTATGGAATCAATAACAGGATCCTGCAAAAAAACCAATTAAACACCACCCACGTGAATGTGAATTCCATTCTCAACCAAATGTAAGGAAATAAACAGTATCTATGTGAAGCAAATACCAGAAAATACCTGGACAGTAAGTGTAGGTTGATCATAAATTGATAAATAACTTCCCTGACGATCCTGAAGATCTGCAAGATTGCGAGATATGGCTCCAACAACAGCCCCAAGCCCCTGCATACTCGATTTAATTAGATAATTACATTTTTTCAAGCGAAAAGGTGTACCCCTTTCAGATGATAATTCATGATTAACACTTAGCGCAATTCTTTATGCCATTACATGCCATAACTGAAAACAATAATCAAGAAGAAGAATGCTAATCTTAGTCTAACAAGTGAAATTAGAGATATATTCCCATCACTGATTTTACAAGTATCCATGTAAGGTGAGGCAATATTACCAAATGTAAAAAGACATATACACCTTGGTATGGACATGCATAAAATAACTGCTCAAAATAGATATCTAATTCTGTTCTCAAGATTATGATTAGCATTCCTCAATCTACAAATAAAGGATGTCAAATTTTAGTCTTATGAACTTAATCATCTATGGATCTTCTTGAAAATGTTGACAACAGAAAGAAAATTACATATGAAATGGACATATTACCACATGCTTGAACACTTGTTGCAGCTGAGAATATGGATGATTAGCACGAGTTGTGACATAGTAATCAGTGAATCTATATCCAAAGCGTTTATCAAACTTCTTCAGTATCTTACGGATACCAATAGCATTCATCTCAACGAAAAATAGAAGCTTCAAAAGATCTTGTCCAACTGCTCTATATGATTCTCGTAAGTCACTTATTTGGGATATATCTGGTTGCTCTAAAAGAGCAGTACGCTGTTCTCCAAGCTTAGCTAACCTGCTTGCAAGTAGCCCTTGTTGTTCCAACAGAAAGAGGACAATCTTTTCAATCTGAAATTATAAAAAGTGTAGTAAATACCATTCATCTTGTGATAAACACTTGTAAATACCATTATCCAGGAAAAGAATAAAAATAATATTATTTTAACAAGAAAATGGGAAAAACTGACATGAAGAATCAAATTCCAAATTTCAAAAGGAAAACAATAATCCTTCCAATTAAAACTATAAATAGCTTCACAAGGACAGGAGACAACCAAATGCAACTGAGTTTGCAAAGCTTTTCAAATTTATTATTAATTGTGTCCAAATGAGCCACAGTATGATATTTCATGACTAATTTATAGTTATCCATTGTCCATAAGAAGAGTCATAAAATTACACCTGATCATCCAGGCACTAAATATCCAGATATTGCTTTGTCCATAAATGCTACAGCCTACAAGTACTTCTACTCCTTTAAGACAATGAGAAAATTCCAGTTTAGTGAAGCATTATGAACACTCATAAAATCATAGAGTTTCAATCATGAATATACTACAAAACAAATATTCAAATTTACCAACCACATAACTCCCCAATAATATACTTTGCTCTAATTTGGAGGATATTATTGTCTGAACTCAGAACCCTAATTATGTCTAAGCTGTAAAGGTCATAGCCTCACATGTGAAACCATGTCATAATTTTAATTGGGATAATTTGCTCGCTTTTTTCTTATACATAGTTATTACTTATCAGAAAAACCACCAAAGTGGTTGTGCATAACTGGGGAGACATTTGTTACTCCTATTACCTTGGCCGTAGTGGTTATTGCTTAAAAATGGTTCTTGAGAACGTTTTCCTAATTGATTGCAACATATAATTATGTAACATGATCAATTATGCAATAAATGGGTAGGTATGGCAGGGCAATAATATTCAGGAAGATCTAGTGTAAGAAAGCATATTATCAGCTAATGCCACCCAAAAGGTTGCTTCACCACATGCCCGAGAGAGAGAGAGAGAATGCATGCTGAGGAAAGATGCTTTTAACAGAATTTATCTTAAAGTAGTGAGAAAAGATGCTTTTAACAGAAGCTATGACCCAATAGTGGATGGCACATAAACAACTAAATCAGTGTACATCCCAAATTGGGATACAACTCGCAAGTAGAAGAGACACATGAAAGATTATGTAACATTGCATATTAGGTGACTTTGGAGACCTGGGAAATCTTTACTGCCAAAGAAAAAAGCAATTTAACCTGGGCCAGCCTCATGAGATATTACGGCATGGCTAGCACCTGGCAATCAGGTGGCCCTCAGCAAGGGATTTATAGAAAGTGATCTCTCTTTTGTAGTTTCTTGGGGGATGTTGAAGGAAAGAAATCAGAAAAAAAAATGAATGGAAATGAAAGTAAATTTAGATATCTATGCACCTATGTGGGATCTCTAGTTCTTATTAGATTTTGGTGGGGGTGGACAGGATTTCCTTTAGGAGGGGTTTTTGTGATATTTTTTGGATAACACTGTACCAGAAGTGAAAAGACTAAACAACCTTGCCACCCATATTAACATAAAATACTACTCCCAACAAAGGCCACACCAACTGCATCACTAACTAGCAATCACCACTCGTGATGCAGTGGCCTAGGACAACTAAGCATCGACTAGGTAGACTAGTCGAACTAGTCAACCACAAAGCTATTTTAAACAGTGTTCTAAGACTTGACCCAGACCGGAAAACCAGGAACCAGTGGCCTTTTTGGGTCCCAGTTAAATTACAGTTTTGGTGGGTTGGATGGGTAAACTGCCAGGTTAACCAGTAAAACCAGGACCTAGAGAGCATTCCAGATTTTACTCCCATCCAAGTCTTAAAACACCAATTTTAAAGCTTTATTTGTTATGTTTGCATATTGTCATGTTTATGCTGTTGCTTTAAATATTTTGATGGAACGTGATTTTATGATGGCATATAAAATAGAAAAAAGGCATAAAATAATAGAAGGCAGTCAAGAAGTTCTTCTAAGTTTTCTTCCAATTAGTTGTATGTTGGAATGGAGTTGCCACAAACAAAGGGCACATTGAATAATCAAAGATGCTTTCTTTCTAAGGAAACTTTTTTTTTGAGCAAAGACTAAACTAAATGCTCAATATTGTAGAGATAATGGGCCAAATGGGCCTTAGTTTCTTTGTTTTTCTTTAAGTTATGTTTATGACTTGTGTTAGTAGGTAGTGGGCCTTAGTTATGGGCCTGTTTTCTTGTTTTTTATTGCTGGCAACACTCTTGGCTGAATAGAGAAAAGAACAAGAATGATCTTAGAGGTGTCAAGAATGAATGACCCCCCACCTCAAAGAGTCTCTTATAAATTAAAAGATATGTGCAATTACAAGAATGCCCATACAGGGCTAAAAGAGAAAAGAAGAATAAGATGTAAAAGTAATATACAACAGGGACTATACTAATAAGGTACATCAAGTTATAGAGTCCCCACACCCCCCCTCCCCTCAAACTGATGCCTCGACATAAGCATCAGTTTGTCTATAAGAAAGAGATGTCGAACTCTAGTCATAGCTTTGGTGAAGATATCAGCAATCTGCATGTCTGAGGCTACATGAGGAAATGATATAGACCTAGTAGTGAAGAGATCTCGGATAAAGTGGCAGTCCACCTCGATGTGCTTGGTCCTCTCATGGAAGACAGGGTTAGATGCAATCTTGATAGCACTCGTATTGTCTGCATAGAGAGGAATAGGAGTAGAAACCTAAATGCCAAGATCCATAAAGAGAGACTGTAACCAAACAATCTCACTGCAAACCGAAGACATGGCCCTATACTCTGCTTCAGTGGAAGACTTGGAGATGTTTGTTGTTTCTTACACTTCCAAGAGATGAGTGAATCACCTATAAAAATACACTACCCAGAAGTGGACCTACAAGTGTCTGGACAACCAGCCCAATCCGCATCAGCATATGCTATCAACTGAATAGGAGAGGAGGGGAAGAACAGTCCCTGGGAACTTGTACTTCTAACATATCGAATGATACAATGAACAGCAATCATATGAGGCCGACGAGGAGCAGAAACAAATTGACTAACAACCTAAACAACATGAGAAATATCAGGCCGAGTCATAGTGAGATAAATGAGGGACCCCACAAGTTGGCATAAGGCAACATCAGGAAGTAATGGACCTTCAGATTTAGATAGCTTAAGATTTAGCTCCATAGGTGTATCAACATGCTCTAACCAACAAGTTTAACAAGGTCAGAGGCATACTTCTGTTGACAAACAAAATACCCTCGATCGTTGTGATGTACTTCCAGTCCCAGGAAATATGTGAGAGGGTCCAAGTCCTTCATGTGAAAGGAATTATGAAGTAATAGATTCAATTCACGAATGCCTTCAGCATCATTCCCAGTCAACAACATGTCATCAACATATAGTAGGAGAATGGTAATACCCTGAGGTCGTCACCTAACAAATAAAGAGTGACCAGAAGAACTCTAGCTATATCCAACATCAACTACAACATCACAAAAGCGTTCAAACCATGCCCGGGGAGCTTGTTTTGGACCATATAGAGATTTTTTGAGGCAACATACTAAAGAAGGATAACTGCAGTATCTAGGAGGAGGCTTCATGTAGACCGTCTCCTTCAACTGACCATGAAGAAAGGCATTCTTCACATCAAGCTGGCATATGGTCTAAGACTGAGCAGCAAACACTGCTAAAAGAACATGGACTGTGGTGTTCTTTGCAACAAGAGCAAAGGTTTCTTCATAGTCAATACCATACTCCTGACTATATCCTTGGGCAACTAAACATGCCTTGTATCGATCAAGAGATCCATCAGACTTCAGCTTAATGTTGTAAACCCAACGACTCCCAACAATGGATGCATCTGGAGGAGCAGGCACAAGATCCCAAGTGTCATTCTCATGTAAAGCATGAATCTCTACATCCATGGCTTCCTTCCAATGAGGACTACTACTAGCTTCCCAGTAGGAAAGAGGAACATTTGTGGAGGATAGGACAGCAGACAAAGAGCTAGAGTTTGAAGGAAAACCATAGCGGTCAGGAGGTCTAGATATACGAGTAGAACGACAAAGAGGAACAGAAGTATGAAGAGTGTTTGAAGTAGAGGTATCACTTAAAGGAGCAGTGGTAGGATAATGATCTGAACCAAGAGGAAGGAGAGTCACAAGCGCAAGGGCTAGAGCACATAACCGCTTGCGAGAGAAGACGAGAAAGTCCTCAGCAGAAGGAGGTGGAGCATCCTGTGAATCAAAGTTTGGCAAAATAGAAACAAACGGTGCAGACAGTCCAGCAATTCCAGCAAAAAATGAAATGTGCTTAAGGAAAACAACATTACATGATATACAAATAAGAAGAATAGAGGGATCATAACAAAAAAATCCTTTGTGGTCAGGACTGCAACCCACAAAGGCACGCATGACAGACTGTGCAGACAATTTAGCACATTCACGAGAGGGAAGATGAACAAAGCACACACATCCAAAGACATAAAGCATAGATAAATCTGGAGAACGACCAAATAACTTCTAAAAGGGAGACATATTACCAAGAACTAAGGAAAGAATATAGTTGATCAAAAACACAACTGTACTGGCTGCCTCTACCCAAAAGGAAGGTGGAGTATAGTACTCCTGCAATAATGTCCTCACAACACTAAGGATATGTCCATTCTTGCACTCGGCCACACCATTTTGCTGAGGAGTATCTGGACAACTTCGTTGCACTTGTATTCCATGATCCTTCAGATAGGATAAAAAATCTCCATCAGTGTATTCTTTTCCTAAATCTGAACGGAGAATACACACTTGTGATTGAAATTGAACCCGCACCATAGCATGAAACATCTTAAATGTTGGGAACACCTCAGACTTGTGGCAAAGAAAGTATATCCATGTGTACTTGGTACAATCATCAATGAACGACACAAAATATTTGTATCCAAGCTGAGAAGAGACAGAAGCAGTCCAAACGTTACTATGTATAAGCTTGAAGGGAGAGGTAGCATGCTCAGATATGTGAGGAAATGGTA